AAAAAAAAAAAAAAAAAAAAAATTTTTTTTTCCTTTAGGATGATACCCAATTATAATTAGCCCCTGCAATTAAAAAACAAGGAGACTGGGCCAGGGATTTAGCTCAGTGGTGCTGCTGCCTGCCTCACAAGGAAACTGAGTTCAATCCCCAGATTTAAAAAAACAAAACAAAAAACCAAGCAGATTAAAGTGAACAAAAATATGTAAGGAGGTAGCTCACTACAGCTTTACTTAGAATCCATAAAGGTGGAAAGCAGCAAGGAGCTACATCCACCTACTGGACCACCACCAACTGCTCAAACACATTCATGTGAAAGGTCTCCAATCAGAGGGAAATGAAAACAACAAGTGGATAAACAGATTGAGGCATAATCCCCTTTTAAACATTTTCTCCTTATTTCTTTTCCACAACACTGGAGATCAAATCCAGGGCCTTCACACTGAGCTACATTCCCAGCCCTTTCCTTATTTTTATTTTTTAATTTTAAACAGGGTTTAAGTTGTCCACTTTAGGTTCAAATTTATACTCCTCCTGCCTCAGACTCCCAGGGTGCTCAGATTATAGACATGGTCATAATTTCATTTTTATAAAAAGTACCTAATCTATTCTGGTGCACTGTATATCAAACAACTAAAAGATTAATCCTGAAGGGCAGACTTTACATATATTTGCAATGTTTGTCCCTTTTCATCATAAACATATATTATATCTGTAATCAGAAAAATAAAAGCTCAAGAATAACAATATAGTTCAGAAAATGCAAGACACTAAAACAGTTTCTAAAGAATAATGACTCTACGGTTTGTTAATGAGTATCAAAACCTGGTTTCATTAATGTTTACTAAGTGAAAAGTTAAAACTTGACCACCACAAAATTTATTAAATTTACCTTTATTTCCAATGTAATATCCAGATATGGATCAAAAGTATCTGAAACGCCCTTGCAATTTAAACATTTGACTGAAACAAAAATAAAATGCAAAAGATAAGCAAAGTATAATCAGTATGTCTTTCTCAACTATTTAAATTACAGATCACAAATACTATTTCAAAGTAAAAAAAAAAAAAACAGTATAATTTTTCTTCTGTAGATTGGAGAAAAAATAAATTCATTTTATACACAGTGTAGGAAAATGTGTCATGAATTTGCCCCCCCCACTGGATGGAGTATCAATCAGTGTGACCTCTTAGAATGACAACATGTCAGTATTAAAATTTTAAATACTGATTATGACTCAAATTCTAATACTAAGAATTTATCATCTATAGTTTTACATAGACAAAAGGCTGAGCCCATGGATGCCTCATGGAGCACTGATGGTACTAACAGAACAGAAAGCTAAGTATCCATCAATAGGAAAATAAAATAAATGGAACACTACTGCAGTTATGAAAGAATCTGTTAACCTATATGTGCTCAAACAGATGGATTACTACTAATGTTAAGGGAAAAACGAAAATATCCTATAGCTGGATCTCAGATTACTCATGAGTAAATTATCAGAAGGATGTACCAGATATACAAGGAGGACTCTGTGTGGGTGTAGAGCTTTACTTTCCCTTATTTCTAGTATTTCCATTTTAATACCACATGCATATGTCACTTTATCAACTTGTGAACAAAAACTTACCTCTTGATCTTAGGTATCCTCCAAATATCTGACAAACAAGTGTGGTGGCCTGGGTGTGTCTATCTAATCTGAAAAAGACAAAACAATGACATAAGAATTCTGTAAAATTATGGACGCTATGACTAGATTTTAAAAGCATATATATTTGTAAAAGAATAAGAATTCAGAGAGGAAAGCCACAAAAAATAAAAAATTAATATACAAAAATAAAAATCAGTATGAAAGGAGATGTCTGTGCTAGGAGTGTGGGTGGTAGTGGGTGGGTTAAGAAAGTTATAGAACTGTCTCGCCCATCTTTCTCAAGTTAGTATTTAGGATTAGGAAAAAGCTATAAGAATTGACAGGGGCCGGGGATTTAGCTCAGCGGTTCGGTGGCCTGCCTTGCAAGCGCAAGGACCTGAGTTCAATACCCAGTACCAAAAAAAAAAAAAGAATTGACAGAGAGAGAGAGAGAGGAGAGAAACACATTTATAAGGCTGGAGGTCAACAATGTCTGGTACAATTAGAAACGAGAAACAAGTACTTTTAGATGTACCAAGGCATGCTGACACTCAAAAATTAAATAGTAGCAACCAATATTCATTTCCTGACAGCTGAAATTGAACAAATTCAAACTGTTTATATCTTTCTAAATTTTAGTCATTTTAAAATAATGCAAATCAGGAAGGGAAGAAGTAATGCAAAGCCAAGAGGTAAAGCAAACAGAAGAAATGACTTATACTTACTTATTGCTTCCATTCAAGCATGCTTTCTGCATAGCATCAACAGTGTACTGAAGAAATTCATGGGCATCTTCTTGGTTTCCAAAACGGAAGTGCCTAGCTATGCCTATAAATTTTCAGACAAGGCTTTTATCATTACATATTGAATGCCTAGGCTGCAAAGTTACATCTTATGTTACTCAGAAAACCCCCAAATAATTACACTTAATGAGAAAGTAGCACTAACATGAGTGCCATCAAGAGCTCAGGGAGCAGCCACAGAATGACTCTTGTGTCTTTACCAAATTAATACAGTTATACTTTATTCAAATCAGCATTGACTGTATTGACTCAAAAGTTTGTCCAAGGACCAGGGATTTAGCTCAGTGGTGCTGCTGCCTGCTTTGGGAGCACAAGGTTCTAAGTTGAATCCCCAGTACCAAAAAAAAAAAAAAGTTTGTCCAAAATGTTAGGTTAGTGCACCCATTTTAAACATGACACTCAAATCCGTAAGAGACTCCATGCAGAACATATTCAATTTATTCAATTATGTACCAATGACAATAAATTATATTCTCAGCTACTCAGTAACATTTCAATCCTCCTAAATGACTAAGCAGTTACAAGAACAAATTATTTTAAAATTATAAATAAAACACTAGCACAGATGTTTTATTAGCACAAAACTATTATACACTGAGTTTTACATGTTTAGGAATATGTGTAAATATATTCTAGCTTAAATTATATAAAACTGCCAATAATCCACCAGTTTTGACCTACAAAATCAACAATTCCATGATTTAACTGTGTGTTATGTACACACATTCAGAGCAATGACACTTTCCTAAATACTAGGCTTTTACTCATGCCTGTTAAATATACACATATACACATACATACATGTGCGTGTGTGTGTGTGTGTGTGTCTAAACATAAATGTACAAATAATCAAAATAATAAAACTGTCCTGGCTAAAATTTAAAGATTTCTGCACTGTCTCCTCTGGTTCCTCAATAATGCCAAGGGCCAATTTAATCTTTAGCAGCTTTTAAGGCAAAGGGGTTATAGTTTACCAATGTATACTTATGCATCCCTATAGATACCAAGCCAGATATCAGATTAAAAGTTTAAAAATTTTTATATGCATTTTTATTACAACTTGGTCAATTAAAATGATGTCAAAATGATATAGAGCCTGGTGTGGTGGTGTAAGCCTGTAGTCCCACCAGGACAGCCTGAAGCCAGCCTGGGCTACACAGTGAGGCTCTGGGGGCACACATAGAAAGTAGCAGGAGAAAGTACATGAGAAAATTTTGTGCAATTTACTAAAAAATTTAAAATTAAACAGAAAAGTGAAGTTTGTTCATAAACTCAGTTAGGCAGTGAGTAAATTTTTGTTTAAGGTTATAATTACTTTTATTTATTTATTTGATACCAGGGATTGAACTTGGGTCCTTGAGCTTGCAAGGCAGGCCACCAAACCGCTGAGCTAAATCCCTGGCCTATAATTACTTTTAGTTTGACAATTCCTATCATTATGTATAATGCAGGATTAATTTACCAAATTAAAACTAATTATAAACCATTTAAAAAAAACCTGAGAGACAGTATCAGAATCAAACTACTCAGCACTGAAATCCAAATAGTTGAGAAAAGGCTTCTGGTAAAACTTAATGATTTCATTAACAAACAATTTGAAATCATTTAAAATTTGCTTGTATTAAACTAAATATGGTCATCTCTTTAAAATTTTTAAATTAGTTTATATAGTAAATGTTTTACTAAACATGTCATTTATTAAAAATATATCCATGTATAGTAAAACGCATGTCGTTTATTTTGTAATAAACTTTGAGCTCTCTCTTTTAAAAAATTATTTAGGCCATTATAGACTGACTAGCTAAAATCCAGGCACGATAGTGCATGCATGTAGTCCCAACTATCTATCAGGCTGAGATAGGAGGATCACTTGGGCAATAATATTAGACTTCACCTCAGGAAAAGACTACCTTGTTAAAAAAATACTTCTCTCTCATTGAGGCCATACTCTTAAGTGAAATAAATAGGACACTTGTGTAAATATCCAATGATTTTTCTGGTGTGAGGAATTAAAAGTGTAAATAAGGATCCAAATGTATAAATGATAATGTGAAATAGGAAGAAAAGGTCTAAAGGGGCAGGGGAAGTGGGAGGGGTAGAGGAAAGGAATAAAGGGAAAGGAAAAATATGAAAACAAAGTCTTGGTAAATAGGGAGGGGTAGAGGGGTTGAAGGGAGGGCAAGGGAATGGGGAAAAAAATAAGAACCAAGGTGCATCATGTAAAGGTACAGGTTCCCAATGATGAATGTAAATGGACTGTATTCCTAAAATGTAGCAATAAACTTAATGAGAAAAAAAAAACTTCTGATTGATACTTACGCTGCATTTCATTGATGACAAACATGGGTTTAATAACATCCCCAGGATTATTGAGTGCTTGGGTAATATGAGCTTGCATTGTACACATCATACAAAATCCTTCTGCATGACCTGAAAGATAGATGACAATGTTCCACATTAGCAAAAAACGACTAGACAGTAAACTATAAATGAAGAGCATATTCCTGAAGTGAAATAACAGCAGCAGCTGCTAGGTGTATGCATTGAGCTATCTACTTTTTTTATTTAATTCTCTAAAAAAACTTAAATGATAAGTATATATTAGCTCTCTCTCACAAGAGAGGAAAAAAGGCTCAGAGAGTTAAAAATCTTCCCAGTCAGATTCAACTCAAACTACTTTTCCTAGTTTCAAAACTTATGGTCTTGGGGACTCTCTATACTACCATTAATTTCAAATGGTGAAAGAATGTCTCCCATAACAGAAGTTAGAAATTTCTAGTAAAAATTCAGGTTTTGCTGGCTACATACTGCAGTCTCTATTACATTTTCTTCTTCTTTTTAAAATGTAATAAATGATTTCTAGCTCATGTTAAGTCGTGCTAGTGGCATCTAGTGGTTAGAAGCCAGGTACATGACTAAACATCCTACAAAGAACAAGATATCCCCTCTTACAGCAATTAGCCCCAAATATCAATAGGTTCTGCCTAGACAAAAGCTGTTTAGAATTTATCTAATAATCTTTGAGAGTACTGAGCTATTTCTAGTTAACTACATCCCACAATAAAGCTAAAAAAATATTTAAGTAGAATCTGAAATGAAAAATACACTAGAGAGGATTAAAAACCGATTAGATGCCACAAAAGAAAACATTAGTGAACTTGACATTCACTATGGATAGAAGACTGCTATAATAATACACCAAGAAAAAAGAAACCTTAACAATTAACAAAAGATTAAGTGAGATGTGGGACAATTTCAAGTTGCCCATAATATGCATTTAATTGCAATCTGAAAGTAAAGAGATGGAACAAATACATCAAGAAATACTTATCTATAAAAGAACAGATTTTTAGGGTGATGGAATGGTTTTGTATTCTGACTGAGGTGACGTGGTGATTTACATGAATGCTATACATGTGTTTAAGTCCAAAACACTTCACACATAAAAAAGTTAATTTTATTCTGTGAAGCGTATGCTTTTTTTAAAATGACCAAAAGTTGTCCCGACATGCACATATTTAAGAACTTTAATAAACCCCAAGTAGAACAAGTGAGGAAATCTTAAAACCAGCTAGAAATAAAAAAACATTCCATATATCGAAAGAAGGGAAAAACTGTGAGAAACAATGCAGACCAGCAGATCATGCCGTAACATCTTTCAAGTATTAAAAATAATAATAATAAGATGTCAGCATCTTTCACAAAGATGAGACTTCCACATCTTGGAGGAGGAAACAGAAGTAGTTTTCCCTATTCCTTCTGCTGTATACAACAACAAAAAATCCTCAGAACTGTATATTCAACAAACATGATTCCGAAAGGTAGAGAAAAGAACAGACATATTAGGGATCTCAGAACCCTAGCCAAGGTAGTGGTTTCTCTAGTTTTCTTTGTGCCTTAAATATTCTAAATTCAGAGATGAAGAAGTCAGCAACCTGGAAACACCATCAAATGCCCAGAACAAAGACACCACAGAAAGCCTGCCTGCTCTCTACAACCAAAGGATTGAGGAAGGGGCAGTCTAATGTGACAGAGAACTTTAGAATGCATTTCCCCACAAATATTATGTTACCTTTAAAAGCCTCTGACCACACCTTTAAAAACCTTTCTGGCTGGGAAGACACCACCCCTCCCAATTCTCAGAGACAGGGACTGACTCAGTCCAGGAGCACCTTTGCTATGCAAACTCAACAGTCTAGAACCATTCCCTTCTATCTGGTCTGTGCATCCCAGGGAGCAGTATTACTCTCTATTAACCAACCACTGCGCCAAGGGCCTGGGCAACTAAGGACCACCTCTGTGGCCTGGACCCAACTAAAACTATTCAAATGAGCTTCCCTGCTTTGCTTTGGTGTGGGGGAACCTCAATAAATGCTCTGCCCTAATGCTTTGCTCTCATTCCTGACTTCTACTTCTTGACCACCATGTCTTTCCCTCATGGTCCTAAGTAGCATACCATGTCTCCTGTCTCCATGAATATCCTGAAATGTATTTTTCTTGAGCCTCCCCTGTGCCTCCACCCAAAGCTGTGCCTGACTAACCATTATGTAAAAGAATAGCCAAATTCTACAGAGCAACTATGACCCACCTCTATCCACACCTGCAGAGACCAAGTGAAGAGCCTAGACTTCACCTGCCAGACACTAAGGCACTCAACTCACCCATTGGGATAGATCTAGAGGAGGTAGGTTAGGAGATGCAACTCTCACAGTGGGTCTAAGTCCCCCTGTCCCATTCAGGTAAAGGTATGTGGAGCCTCCTCTGCCACCCTCACCCAGCAATACAGAAATATGCCTTCTAACCCCACCCCTCAGGGTCAGAATCAGGACTTGCCCAGTGCTAACAAAGCTTCTCCAACTGCAGCATCAGTGGGGACCCTGTGGGGGTGCAACTTCATACTCACCCCACAGCAACAAGTGCCCTAAGTTCAACTGTGAGCCCATGGAGGCTGAGGGAAGAACTTGGACTTCTGCTGAAACCAAGGTTAGAGAAGATCCAGAGTCTCATATATAATGCAAAAACACCCAGATTTCAAATGAAAACCTTTCACTACACCAAGAACCCAAAAATAAACAAAATGATAACACTTCCTAAGCTGGTTCTGAGTTATAAGTAGAAAAAAAAAATCCAAAACAACTATAATTCAGAGAGAATAAAGGGACAAAAGAGATAATACTTCTACACTTCCCTCAGACTGGCAAAATGACAATACCAGTAGACTGATAAATTATGTATGTATAATATAATACCTAGAGCAATCACTAAAACAGCTATAAACACCAAGTAAATAAAAACAGAATTCTAAAAAATATTCAAGTAACCTACAGGGTGCAGAAGTAAAACAAAAACAAAGAGAAGCAAAAAAAAGCACAAAGTGGCACACTAAGCCTTTGTATATCAATAAATCAATAATCCCTCTTAACACTGATGTTCTAAATCACCAATTAAAAGGCCCAGATTAGCAATCCATGGTGTACACACCTGTTAATTCCTACTGTGGGAGGCTGAGCCAGAAGGATCACAAATTTGAGCCCAGCCTGGACAACTTAGCAAGACAGTTTCAAAATGAAAAGTAAAAGGGCCAGGAATTTAGCTCAGTGGCACCACACCTACCTTGCAAGGTCAAGGTCCTGAGTTTGATCCTTGGTACCAAAAGAATAAAATAAAAAATAAAAAATGGGCTGTGGATATAGTGAGTGCAAAGGACCTGTGTTCAATTACTACTAACAAATAAGTGACACAGATTGACAAAATGGATTAAAAAACATGATCCAACTATATGCTGTTTATAACAAATCAAATTCAAATGTAATACTACAGGCAGACTGAAGTAAAAGGATCAAAAATATATATTACTACTCAAAAAAAAAAACAAAACAAAGCTATTACTCAAAAAAAATGTCTATGTTAAAATCAGATAAAGTTAAACTGCAGACCAAAGGCTCTGGGTCCAATCTCCAATACCAAATGAATGAATGAATGATACAGATGGACAAAATAGACAAAGACAGGGATATTTACATAGTTAATGTAAGTACTGCATTACAGATTTAAGGGTCAATCCAGTAGAACACAGGAGTCCTGCAAGACATGGTGGCACATACTTGTAATGCCAACTATTTGGGGAGCTGAGGCAGGAGGATCACAAATTTGAGCCCAGCCTGGACAATTTAGCAAGACTCCTTCAAAATCTGAAAATGGCTGGTACAGCTTACTGGAAGAACATGTGCCTAGCCTGTGAAGGCTCTGGGTTCAATCTTAAATGTGTTTGAACCAAACAACAAAGCTGAGAAAAACATGAATCACTCAAAACTGAGAGGAGACAAAGGAACACCTACATTTAGATATGGAAACCTCAACATCTTTCTGTCAGTGACTCACTGAATAACTCAACAGAAAATCATAAAATATATTGAAAAACTGAACTACATTCTCAGCCAACAGATCAAATCAACATTTATAGAACAGTCCATCCACCAAGAGCAGAATATACATTTGTTTCAGAGGCCTTAAAAAACTTAGGTCTTCTCCAATCACAGTGGAATCAAAACAAGAAAGATAAGAAAATCTCGAAATAACTGAAAGATGTCTAATCCAGGAATGAAAGACTAAGTGTCAAGGGAAATTTTGAAACATACAGAATTGAATAAAAATAAAATTTGGGGATACAAAGTAGTGCTGAAAGGGAAATTTATAACAATTTTCAATATTAGTAGTGAAACTGAGGATATATTAATGCAGGCCCAGAAAACACTGAAAGGATAATAAATATTATGGATACTTTACACAGGTAAATTTAAAAGAAATAGACTAATTTCTCAAAGAAGCAAATTATAACTTATCTAATAAAAAATAATATGTTCAGTGGTCCTACCCTTACTAAGGGAATTCACTTTATGATTTGAAAACTTCCAAAAAGGAATCTCCAAGCCCAGATAGTTGCACTGGAGAATTCTAAACATTTAAAAAAGAACAGCAATTCTATAAGATATCTTCAAAACAAAAAGAAAAAGGGCTGGGGATTTAGCTCAGAGGTTCTGCCGCCTGCCTCGCAAGCTCAAGGACCCCAGTTTGATCCCTGGTACAAAAAAAAAAAAAAAAAAAAAAAAAAAAAAAAAAAAAAAAAAGAAAAGAAAGAAAAAAGAAAAAGCAGCAGCTAATACATACTAACTAGCTACAAATTATATAGCTAATTTTACCCTGACGCCAAAACCAGACAAAGACAGTTCAAAAACAAAAACAAAAAATCTTGTGCATAGATGTAAAACCCCTTACTGATTTATTAGCAAATAAAATTGGGCAATCTATCTGGAGAATTACACACTATGACCAGAGTTTTTTCCAGGTATGCAGAAATAATACAAAAATCAACCAATATAATTCACCATATTAACAGGTTAAAGAAGAAATATCACATGATCATAACAATTTGATGCTGAAATCATCTGACAAAAATCAATATACATTCAGGATAAAAAAATAAGAATCGGGGTTGGGGATCTAACTCAGTGGTGCCACTGCCTGCCTTGCAAGCGCCAAGGTCCTAAATTCAATCCCTGTTACAAAAAAAGAAAAAAAAGAAAAGAATCAGAAAAACAGGAATAAAGACAACAAATCGAGTGCTTTCCTGTAACAGCAGAAAAGAAGCAAAGATGCCTGTTTTCACCACTATTATTCAACAGAGTGCTGGAAGTTCTAGTTAGTGAAATAAGAAAATAAAACAAGGAAATAAATAAGGCCAAGAGACCCATGAAGTGTTATGTACAACTGTTCTGATTGGTACATGACATAACGTGACTACACATGTAGAAAACTTCAAGGAATCTATCCAAAAAAACAAAGCAAAACAAAAGCCTGGAACTAATAAATGACTTCAACATTTTGTACAGTGTACAAAATCAACATGATGTAGAAATCAAATGTATCTCTATATTCCAGCAATGACTGCATAGGCATCAAAATTAAACCAACCAGGAAAAAAAAAA